TAAGCTGGTATGAACATTATAGAGCGCACTGTAGAACAAAGTCAGCAGTTAAAAAAAGGGGTTGCTAAGATTAGGTTATCAAATACAGTCACAGGATTTATGGAGAATTTTTACAAATTTACTTGTCCTATTGGGAGATATCATTATTATTTATAACTGCATTCCTATGTGCTTGTTAGAGGAATAGAAAAGCTAGTGCATGGGAATATATGTTTCATCAGAGCCTAAGGAAATAATATACTGTACTGTGTTGTAACTGAATTAAATATAAAGCCATGTTTTCATTTTAGCTGATATGGGACCTGCAAATATTAGAAGACAAAACTGATACATGTAAAAAAAAAAAAAGCCTGATTTTTTATAGGATCCTTTTTTCTTTTTGCATTAAAATAGGTTTTCCACTTAACTTGATTTGCCAATTAGAGAAATATTGTTCTAGGTTCTGATGTAATATCATAATCATCCCATTTAGGATAACTTAAATAGAAAGATTAAAGTCAGAAAGACTGGCTTAAACTGGCTGATTCCTGTGGCACAGTAAAACTTTTAAGTAACGCTCTACAGAATGGCATGATTTGTAGTATCTGCTGAAATTAAATTCTAGCTAAAATAGGATTTATATCTGTACCCTGGAGATGTACGTTTGTGACAAGGTAATTGTCTTACCTTAGAGAAGCCTGAGTCGCTGTTGTAATTCTGTGTATCTTTTTTAAAAAAAGAAGTGAAGTAGGCACAGCGTGTGCCCACATCCTGACTTATGCTCTGCACAATATATGAAGCTGGTCCTGATACTGACATTTGGTTTTAAGAAAACAAATATTAAAAATAGTATTTTTTTTCAAAATATAGGTGTTTTCTAAAAAGTAAGCAATAAATACTTTCCATTAGTAGTGCTCACAAAACATCCACATGGATTAATACAGATTGTCAGAATTTATAGCAACAAAAATGCAGACCTGTCAGACAGCGGTTCACTTTTGAGTCCAGGTCTCAATAGAATGAGGTAGTAGAAAATTGACATAGTAGAGCAAAGGGTAGATGGAGCAAGGGTACAGCAAGCAAGCAAACAAACAAGATGGAAATGTTTAAATACTGTCTTATTCATCAATTTTATTTATTTAAATTAGATTTATATTTTGTTCGTTTCTTCCCCAGGATCTCAAAGGAATAGCCCTATATTTTATCCCCCAGAAACAGTGGGGTAATTTGGGCTAAGAGAGGGTGCTTGGCCCAAAGTCACCCAATGCATTTCCATGGCTAAGGTAGACTTGAACCTGGGTCTCCAGGTCCTAATCCAAAATTTTAACCACTACATCACAATATCCAGTACAAATGAAACAAATAGCAAATTGAAGCACAGTTAATTGCCAGAATTTCAAAGAGCTAAAGTATTCCAAACCTTTTAAAGTGATTTCATAGATTAAAAATATTTTTGCCTAGCTTCTAAAAGGTAGCAAAGTTAAAATCAGACAAACCCTGTGGAAGGGATTCCATGGCTGTGATTATTATTGCCCAAACAGCCTTGTCATTTTCCCCCCCACCTCATTGAGGATATGTATAAATTTCATAAATAATAATGTAGACTGGACATGGGTTACAAGGACTCTATTACGAAATTACTGTACTTTCACAGGTTCCACAGAGATCTGTTATAGGGAGTACAATTGCATAGTTATATTCTAATGTATCTTTGTTTTATGGTATTTCAGTATAAACAAAACATTACGCCTGAATTCCTTTGAATCATACTTAATGCTTAATCACTCCACCTTGGCTCCTGCTGTCAGTGAGAGCAGCTAAACTAACCAGGAGTTAACTAGAGCAGGAAGTTAACAAATTGGGATTCCTGGTGCTGCTGCTGGCAAACTAATACAGTGGTACCTCGGGATACGAACTTAATCCGTTCCGTGACTCTGGGCGTATCCCGAGTTGGTCGTAACCCGAAGGAAATTTCCCCATAGGGTTCAATGTAAATCTGCCCTCTGAATTTGGTCGCACCCCGAGGCAAATTTCCCCATAGGGTTCAATGTAAATCCGGTTAATCCGTTCCGCCCTCCGCCCGAATTTGGTCGCAACCCGAGGCAATTTCCCTTAAGGTTCAATGTAATTACCGTTAATCCGTTCTGGCGTCCACGGACCACACGTCAGGCGGGAAAGCGGCCGGGCGCG